AGTCCTATTCTACTATATGTGTAGTATACAAGTTGTCCACTCCGTAATAAACTTGGAAAGAGGAACAAACCACATCTTTTGTAAAATGAGAACATACTTCCTCTTTCTATAAGCCTAGCATGAGTTAGCACTGAAACTAACAGCAAAACTGCCCTCTTTTAACTATGTTTTACATTCTCCTTTTAATATAGCATCCTCAAAGCATGAAATATTGGCTGAAGTCAATGTACCGAAACAGTAAGTACAATAAACCTTATTTTTGTATAAATCAGTCCAAATACTACTGCAAGAAGGTTTCATAGCTGTACTTTCCAAGTTTCATGTTACAGCATTACCTTTTTCCTCTACTGCGTAACAAAAAAAGTTGTTTGAAATTTGTAACCCAATCAGCCGAAGTATACCCTAAAATAATTGTTAATGCAGAGTAGCAATGGCAGTACTTCAATCTAGCACTATAGCTTTAAACCATTTATAAATCTGCTGCTTGAGTATGTTGACTCTTTTTCACCCAGCTAGTGGGAAAACAGTGAAATAAATACAGGACTAATTGCTTATTTAGCACTGTAAATCAACTCAAGGAGACCAGACAAAAAGTTCCTTTTTTAATTAGATAAAAAGGTTCCTAATTAAAGACACATTCAGATATTAAATGAACTTAGGGAAATTCACAAACATTACAAAACATATGACACGTTTTACCCAGGTTACTTAGACCTAACAGCTGCATTTGCACAACGTTTAGTGATAACATGTTAAGCCACAAAGAACCAACTATGTACAAACTCATTCAGCCCATTTATTTTATGATTCAGTGTACTATGTGAATCTAGAACATGGGTTCATTCAGTAACCAGGTTAAGTGTCTTATGCAAACCTAGCCTCTAGTGGCTACCATGTAGGAGGTTTGTCATTTTCAGTGCCCAAGGCCAGTGTACTTGAATATTTTAGTAATAGCTAACGATCCTACTGAGAGCCCATCTGCGTTATTGGACAGAGATTCCCGCTGCTAGCAGATGCATTGTGAATTCTTGAAAATATCACCGCAGTAGTCAGTAGGTAGGTTGAACTTCAGTTTGCTCAGTGAACTGAATGAGTTTATTTTGACACAGCAAAATTTCTAGGTTCATGCATCACATTAATCTATGTGATTAGTTTGATTTTAGCTTAGTGTGTGCTAACCCAGCCCTTGTGATTCAGAACTTAGCACAATGGGAAGCCAACCATGGTTTACCATAATGCTCAAACCTAGTCACTACTAAAAGTGGCACATTAAAATTCAGGCCTTAAACGACACACGCACGATGTGTATATACTACCCCATGTCTTTTTCAATACTATTCAGGCCACGTGTCATCCAGCTATTCCAGAGCATAATAAAACAAGAAGTTATCGTTGTCCATCATAAAGCAGGAGCAGAGTCTCAAATCCCATGTGTTTCTCAAGTTAAGCAATTTGAATTGCACTACTTCCTCATCTGTCACTTAGTGTTGTAAGACGCATGTCCTAAAGCTCGCATTTTGAGGAACAGTATATTGATATTTTGCAGTCTTACACAGAACTTTAACCAGTATGCGCATATTTATGCAAAATGTTCTAATACTTTGGCCGTGAAGGGGCGGTATTAGTCACCAAGGCGATTATTCAAAGGTAATGTGATCCAAATGGTGCCTGCTGTTCTCAGATTACCTTTGCTACCAATATATCAATTGGAAGGATTCTTTGAGGATATACGCGCAATTGTATATTGTCTGATGATTTGCTGGAAGCATATAATTAAAGAATTGGCTGGCTATTTATTTGAGTAATGTAACATCCTCGTGTTTAGGCTGTCAGGCAGCATTAAAGCTAAAACCAATCCAGCCCTTTTGCCAAGCGCTCTCATCCCACATCCTGTTCCCAAATCCAAATCCTCAGTATGGGGTCAGTAGAAAAAAGTTGCTGGAAAGGGCTGCCTAGTCCAGCGTCCGGCTTCTAGCAGGGCCAGCGAGGCACTTCAGACGGTTTAGAAAAGGATGTGAAATAAAGGCCAGCGCATCCTAGCAACTGCCACCTAATGGGATGCAAGGACAAGATTTGCACGTAAGCCATGATTGGCTGAACAAGCCACAGTAGATTAGGTTCATATATAATGTTTAATCAAAACCAAACAGATCAAATTATGGCATAGCACAATATGTGAGTAAGACAGGGTTCAGACGGCACATTAACCTTGGTTTGGTATGACCTAGCGAATAGATAACGGTCTGCTTATTCAAGAAGACAAGACACACTGATTTACACACCACCCAGCACTGCATTCGTAAAGACCAAAACCGAACCAATCGCGTGATGAATGTGGAGATTCTGTGTTGTTCATTATGGCAAAGAGCAGCTTAACCTTACTGTATACAGTATCCTTCTTTTAAGCAAGCCCCTACCATATTCCTCCACTCTCTTCCCCAGCATACACATTCACTTCACACTATGGAGGCTGGAAATCAGTTGTGTTTCCTTTGCTTAATTCTTTTCTGCCCACTTCTTGAAGGTCCCCTTATCACTGCTTGAGCAGCGCTTTTCAGCCACTTTCTTCCTCCCGGGCTTGAGATTTTCCCAGGCCGCATCCAAACTCCTTGAGCAGCAACATTAGGACAGTTCGGCCAATTAAAGGCACGGCTCTGTCGTAAGTACAGTGAAGGATGAATGCCTGGGTGAGTTTATTGTGGCCTTAAGTTTGCTGAGCAACGCATCAGGATTCCTCCTTGGGGGGGGGAGCAAAACAAACCATTTTGTACCTACGAGGTGATTACATAATCTAATAGTGCCCCTTACAGAGAAAGATCTAAAGTTTAAAGAAAAATGTTATTCAACTAGAACTTGCTCATGACAAATAATCATTCAGAAAATGCAAACATTTAATAAAACTGCTTCTGTGTTTTCAGTCTTCTGGGTCACAAAAATAGGCAGAGTCTTGGCTGTCTAAATAACAACGAAATAGGAATCGGGCCAGGAAGTTTGCTCGTAAAAACTTGCTTTCATTTAAGCTTATTCCCCAACATTTGAGTGAAGTTAGTTTGTATTTCTGTGTTGCCCCTCAATTCAAATTTCCCAGTCCTACAAAGACCTAGACTTTGTCTAGAAAGGCACAGAACTGCTACTGCTAGAACGAATTTAACTTGAACTTGTTTAGAAACACTGAGAAGACTATTTTGTACCTCAAGCATTCTCCAAGGACACTAAAATGGATTGAAGTTGAAATTGACGTAACTTGAATCATGAAAAAATACCAATGCTTACTGGCTAATTGATAAAGCATGCAAGCCATTTCTCCACAATTCAGTGCAAATCACCCTTTCAGGATAATTCACCGTAGGCAATACAGGTCTTTGCCAAGAAATACGCTACCAGAATAAATATACTGAGCAAACTCCAAACGTCTGTTTGATAAACTACAAGACTCCATCTTAGAGCCTTTGACACAACAACCTTCTTGAAATTTTGAAATAATGGTCCAGAATCCACAAATCTCACATTAGGACAAAACAACGTAGCGCTTATTCTTAATCCAGGCACTTCAGTAGAGGAGGACGACCATATATTCCACAGTGTCTAAGCCAGTATAGCACAACTATTCACGCAAGCTGCAAAAACCTCGGTTTATATCTTACCTCAGCCTTGAAATCATGGGGTTAAGTTATACATAATCCACTGTACATTCCAGTCTTGACTTCACATCTATTTACAGTATGGAGATCAAACTACTCAACTGTATAGGACTGTTGTAAAGGTGACATATATGGATTGCTTGGAAAACTCAAGACAACACTCTACCCCAGTTGCAAGAGACATGGAACCTAAAGAGACTGCACGGTGACCTACATTAGGCTAAGCGGGGTGGGGAGGGAGGGAGGGAGGGAAGGAAGGAAGGAAAAAAACAACTCCAATGTACACAATCTGGGCTGCCAGGATCAAGCTTGCACTTCGCAGCTGCTGCTCCTGCCTCCCTCTGACTCCTTTGAAAGGAATTTGAGGGCTCTCAAGTCGGCCACTTCATTCCTAGCACACAAAGGCAATCTTGGGGAGAGGCGCCTTACCGAGCAATCATCTGGGGATGGGGCTCCCTCACGGGTGTCACTCCCAGCAAGTAGGTAGGTCACCACTGAGAGGAAGAGGGAAACTGGTAGAAGATGCATCCATTGACCTCAACAGCCCTCTCTCTTTCTGCACGATTTTCACATGGAAATACAATGCGCCAGGACGCCCGGCTCAGTCTGGTGGCAGAAACCGAAGCCAATTCTCCCAACACCATCTTAAAGGCCACCGAGTGCACAATGTACGACGAAGCATGTTTACTCTGAAGCACTTGGCATAATTCACCAGGATTATGTCCCCCTTGTATGCTTTCAACTTAAGCAATAGCTTTACCTTCTCTCTTCCCACAAAGGCCTGACGGAGGAGGGATGACGTTGCTTAATGTTTAACAGGCAGTCCGTTCCTTGAGCTGTTGCTTAAAAACAGGTTTAACCGCTTGAGCAAATCCGGGTAGAGATGGCAAAATGGAATCCGAGAGGCAACACCCATGGCCTCCCACTGAATATTTTACAATCAGCCAGCAGCAGAAGGCATGTTTAAGAGAAATGTTTCAACCGCCACCCCTCGTGAGAGATTACTGTGATGGGGAAGAGAAAGGTCAGACGGATTTCACCTCGACGCTTGCCGATCCGTGCCTATCTCACCCATCCGGCTGCTCTGAGGAAAGCTAGTATTTTCCTAAGCCCAAAACCAGGGCTGGCTGCTCGTCTACTCATTTCTGCACCGATTAAAAAAAGAACCTGGCTCAGCCTGTGGAAAAGGCTGTGTGCAAGAATCTGGCACGAAGTCAAGGCCTGAGGCGTCACCCTGCTTTTTCAAAAATGTCTGAAAAGCACTCATTTGGGAGGCCCCCAGCGGGCTGAAGCCGCCCCAGCGCCCTCCTCCGCGTCCCCTGCTAGAGGCGGTGGCGGCTCTCGGCCAGAGAAAGCCAGGGAGACTCGCGCTGCAGCTCCTGAGTGGCTCTCCTGTCCTTACTCTGGAACTCGGCCCTGCAAACAAAGGGACGCGGCTTCACCAGGGCTACGCCTGGCACAGGCTGCCTACTGCAAGTGGGCAGATGCCATCAGAAAGCCCTCTGTGCTCTGACGAGGGCAGCACTCCCTCCTCGGCGGCTGCGGCGGGTGCTGTTCCTCCTCCGCCTCCTC